TTTTAAAAAAGTTCTATATTTTTTAGATTGTGAATGGGTATAAGATGACAAGTGTAATGAATAGAAAAATAATAGAATATTGATTGGTATTGATTAGTAGTTAGAAATTTGTGAGTAGATGAATAGTGTTTTTTGTTGGAAAATATATAATAAATTGACTTTTATTTTTAATTATGTTAGTGGGATTGTGAGAAAAAAGCCAGATGGAATGAATTGTTGTTTTTGCGAAAATTTTGTTTTCATTCACAACTTCAATAAGATAAATCTTGACTAACCAAACAAAAATGATTTTTTTCCTTTTTCTTATATATCCAATCCACTAGCCACCTTGAGAACTCCATGTAAAATAAACTTTCCTCGTTCTTGCGTGAATGTCATTCACTAATTCTTTCCTCTCTCAAGCTCTATCTCTTTTAAATTTCCCCTTGTACGAACCTAACAATGCATCATTTCCTCTGCACACATCAGCCGGAATGAAATCCCAGCACCAACCTCGAAAATCCTCCGTGCTGCCCGATCAGCCATTGGGAAGAGGAGGAGGAAGTGGGCCTCCGAAACCTCAGGCACCGCCTAAACGACCTCCCACAAACCCGACCCCCACACCTGACTCAATGGTCAAAGCTGCTGCAGTCGCTGCCGGGGCCCGCATAGCCTCCGCATCAGATGCCTCTTCCCTACTTGAGGCTGCGCGCTCTCAAAATGTCGTCCATATCACGACTGGCGGCGGGCCCATGATGAGATCGGGCCCAGCGGGCCTCAGCAGCCAACTGCCGAGCAATGTGCATTTTATCCGCAATGGCCTGGTGAAGGCCCCGATCTCTACGTATTCGCCTGCTAAGCCTAGTGTTCCGCGCGCAGTCGAACATCAGCATGCGCAAAAAGAGGCTGCTCATAGGAATCAAGCTAGTCAGTCGGCTGGGTCGGGCAATCGCGAAGTGGAAAAGCAAGTTCAATCTGCCAGTAATGAAGGTAAAGATGATGGGATGGCTGTAGTGACCTCAGGAAAAGAGGATAATGGTGAGTTGAAATGCTGATCTAGTTAGTTAATACAGAGGGATAAACATGGAAACTGCTCTTGAGGTTTGTTTGCTATGTGAAATAATACATACAAAACGGGTAAAGTTAGAAATTTGCGAAAAAATGATCTAGGTTTTGTTATGTTTAACGTTTTACCCTTGCCATTAGTTAGTTGGCTTGAAAAGATTTGCTTGTTGCCAACTTTTTAGAATCCTACAAATGGCATCGACTTTGAACTTGGATATGTGGTGTGTTTAGATAAAAGTGAGGATGTAAGTGTGAATTGTGAGACGAAACGTTTGGATTGTTTGAAATGTGTAGAAAAGTTTATGGATGTTAATTTGCAAATATTTTTATGACGTTAGCGAAGCTTTCGTTGCCCTTAATTCTGCTAATGACATCTACAACATATAAGACATATGTAACTTCAAGCGTAGTCATTGAAATTCATTTTCTTGGCAGTTTGGGCCAACCCCAAAGGGTAGCTTTTGTAGCTATCGGTAAGAGTTGGTGATGACAGTGATTGGTATTGCAGGTGAAAAGATCACTGAGAACAAATGTACAAGCTGAGGGATTAATGAGAATCATGGTCCAAAAGGATGTGGGCCTGGCCTGAAGGTTTACTTCAGCAGAAATATGGATGTGGTATGAAAAAAGTGAAGTAATGCTGAAGTTTGGCTGCTGGAGATGGGGAAAAAACAATTCCCGTGTATGAATATCAGTTGTTTAACTTTAGTTTGGCATGCAATGAGTTATTATTTGATCTGTACATAATTGTGGATGAAGCTTGTTATAGTTCTCATGTCTGGATGTAGCGATAGCTTGTTCATTTCGTGCAGCTTCTTGAAATTCATTTACTTGCAGTTAGGATTGAGAAGCCAACATATGGGATGGGATACTGATGACAAAAAAACCCAACTAATAGCAAAAGAACCAATGATATTGTTTTGTACAATACTGGCTTGTGAGGAACCTCGGTCAGTTCGTATATGGTTGCTAATAGTCTAATACGTATGTTGGATTGTACACATCCTTACGGTTTTGTTTGTGGCAGGTGTAGTGAATTGTAGAAGCTACAATGAAGTTATGTGAACTATTTATTAATAATATATTACTTACTAAAATCATGATCTTTTCTGTAAGATGAAAAAAATGTTTATTTTTGGGATCTTGCATCTGGCTAGCCGATCTAGCTTTGGATTGGGTTTTTAGATTTGAGGGCTTTGGATCTACGGTTTTCATTTTGTCATATGGTGCGAGGAGTGGTTTTTTGTGTTGGGTTGGGTGCTAAT